GGGGGGGGGGGGGGGGGGGGGGGGGGGCCCCCCCTTCCCCGCGCCCCCTATTATATTTATCCTTTTACCTTTCCCCCGAAGGAAGGGAAACTTTTCATCCGCCCCCGACTTTGTAGCGTCTCACAAAACCAATAATTTTGTTTTGGTTTTTCGGAGAGAGATAAGCCCCCCGCCGGGAGGGGGTAGGCCCCCCTCCCTTGGATTTTGGGCGATAATCATTTTTGAAAAAAAAAAAAAATTATCCGGGGAGGGGGGGGGGTGAAGGTCACATTACAAAAAAAACAAAACCCAGGGGGGGGGAGGGGGGCTCGGCGACATTGACAACGGGGCGGTGAACGACTAATCGGAGCTTCTTCGTGCGGCACTAATTGGGTCACAGAACAACAAGGACCGAGAGAAGCACCAACCATGCTCCCCACGTCATTTCCAACTGCACTCCTGGTAAAGGTGATCGGAGAATCGCGGCTGGAGCCGATTAGGTTAGCCAGCAAACTAATCTCAGCGCTCAATAAATCCCCCTCCGCCCGTCCCGGCATTGTAGGGGCGCGAGGTCAATGGTCCAACGACTACGGCATGACTTTACCTGAGCACACCCTCCACTCCGCACCAAGATGCGTCAACCTCACACGAAACACGCTCTCATCCTCGTTTGCACTGCAACAACATTAGGAGAAGCACATCGCACTGGCCGGTACCTGGGGCGAATCGGGTACCGTCTTGAGGTCGCACACGTTGCGGACTTGTGTCGGCAAGCTGGCCTCCGACTTGACCGTGAAGAATATCAACACTGGTTGGCCACCGTTGGCCTTCGCAGCCTCCGCCTCCGCCGTGGCGATCGGCAGCAGGGCTTCTTCCACCTGTCGATACGACAATACGAAAAAAAAAAAGCAACAGCACGTAGATACATTTATTGGGGGGTCCAGTTGAGCCAAGAAGTTCGGGAAGAACTTAAATTCCCGAAAGTATGCGGTCTATACCGGTACCAATATCAGCGCTGCTATTCTATGAACGACACCCCGTCAAAGTCTCAACTCGGCTTCAAGCATATCTCGTCCGCACGACACAACGACTGATACTTTCCGCAAAACGTCTTGATTCCAGAGCTAGGACCACCCCTCACCGACGAGTGGCTGCGCCGGTCCATGCCATGCAGACTTCGTCGTAGATAAACAACAAGAACAACTGTGAACGGATGCAGACAACAAGAGCAACGACCACCCAGGCTCTCACCTCCTTTTGATCTACGTCGTCGCAGGCCTCCATGAAGACGATGAGCGACGGCATCTCCTGCACGTGGAAGCCGTTACTCTGGCTGTTCACCGACAGGTCTTCCACGGCCTTCGGCCACCACGGGAACTCCAGACCCTGCGCGGCGGTGTCGCAACGTACGCACGCACACACGGGTCCCAGTTAATAGCATACAAGTGTTTCGTGTTTTTCAACCGCACTGAGACTGACGTCTTTTCATTGCTCAGCCGGTTTGCACGGTCGATGGTAAATAATAAAAAAACACACACCGACCGCGAATACGCGGGTGTATGCATGTTCGAGTCAGCAGCTATTATACGTGTTAGGCTTGTTCCAGTTAAGACCACGGCTGAGCAGCAACACAGGCTGAGCTACAACGTGTCGTGCTGTCTGAAGCAGCAGCAGGAAAACGACACCCAAGCGTTTCAAGGACGCCCGAAAGAGCATCGCAGAGAGACCCAGCTCGTCCGTGACCTCAAGCACACCCAGTTCTGTGCGTTTCAGGCCTGCTACGCTACCGGTCAACCTGCCGCACCTTTGCGTCAGCGATCGCTGCCCCCTTAGCTGTCTGGTTGATCACCACGCCGTCCCGGTCGATGGTGGTCAGGGTTGGGATGCCTCGTACCCCCAACCGCGTGGCGAGCGCCCTTCTCCGGTTGACGTCGCCGAAAGGGATCGCGGCCCACGGCATCTCCCGGAAGTAACTGTCCGCGCAGCAACCAACGGTAACAAAAAAAACTGAGCTCCACAAATGTGCAAGCACGATCTATCCGCGGGTTGCTCTCCGGCGGCGTTAGGCTCCATGCGCTTCCAACAGCGCGGGGAGTGGACCAACTGCTGCACAAAGCACGAGGCATGCCAACTACACACCTTACACCGGAAAACGACGCCATCAAATACCGCCAACACTACAATATCACAATCCTCGAGGGGAGGGAGCAAGGTGTGTTGCTCACTCGTCGAACTGCGCCTGGTCTTTGTCGGAGCTCACGAACAAAAACTCGACGTCGTCGCTTCCCGCCCTCTTCTTGAGGTCCTTGTACGTCTGCACCAGGCGTGGCGTGAACGCTCGGCAGGGAGGACACCTGGCCAAAAGAAACAACACCGTCAACTTTTCCTTCGTTGCAAAACACGGACGTTGCACCTGTAAACCTCAGATTCGAACCATAGAAAAAATTGCGCTCGTAACGGAAAGTTAGCGGCGGAGCTTGACAAGTTTCGGCATAGACATTTAGGTATTATACACTGAGGCCACTTTTCTATAACGACACTGCGCAACCGCCCCAGAAACGTCTCTCAAAAAAATAACAGGTATGCAATAGAACAACAATAAAAACATGTGCAGTAAAATCGTATCTGTACTACGAGACCGCCGTTGTCGCCTTCTCTGC